AGCAGCCAGCCAAGCTGGAGTAGCCCCTACCATTGATGGGGGCTGCTCTAGCCTACCCCCCTTTAGTCAGTTAATCAAAGAGTCAGTATTATGTTGAACTGTTTAAACCATTAAAGAGGATTTCACATCCCTATTGTGAACTTGTCTAACAGCTTGGGCTTAGGTGACAGCGATCTTTTGTTGAATGGTGTTTGTGTGGGTATAGGCAGGAAGGCACGACAGGCAAAGCAAGCCAGCCAGGTAATAAGCTGGTGAGCAGCATGGGTTATTGTCAAAAAAGCTAGGTAGAGAACTTTTGGGTGTGTTCATTTGTTAAAGAGATCTGAAGGTTGTAAGCTAGTGAACTGTTCTTGGTTCTTCCTGCATTCAGAGAAACACAGTGGTGTAGCTTCCTTCTAAATAAACCAAGATTTCCCAGACCCCAAACTTTGACTAGACACGCAGGTCAAAGAGGGACAGTGCTTCGAAGAAGCCTACCATGTAGAGCAGGGCTACCCAGCTTTGGAAGCCCCAGAGGCCACAATGATATTCTCAGCTCATGCCTAGGGCTGCAACTGAAGTGTGGTTGCTTATATATATAAATATATGCAAATAGCTTCTTTCACACTGACAGGCATAAATACAGTACCAAGATTAAGTCAAGACTACCTAACACACAGGTCCCATTTAAGTCAGTTCTGCTGATATTAATAAAAATGCAATATTTTTGCCTGATTTCTACCCATATGACAGCACGTTTAATGAGCACTTTTAAAAAGGAAATTGTATACCGATGTTCTGGGTGTTTAGCTTGAAGCTTCAGGTTGTGCATTTCTTGGAGTGATTTTACTCAAAGTTTCCAAACCAGAGCCCTCTAAGCTGCGGTGGAGGAGGTGGCCGAGTCAGGCTAGACCCGAGAGGCAGAAAGGACAGGTACCCAGGAGCCCCGTCCTGGATTCCATGCAGGGCTGACGTGCCTCCGTGGGAGTCTGTCGATCCATGCAGGACAGAGGTAAGGCTGCTCAGCCACAGGGCTGGACTCAAATGTGGCCAGTGAAAGCCAGTTGGCATCTCTCAGGCTCTGCCCACAAAGCTAAGCAGCCAGCACTTCCCACAGTGCCCCAGTGCTCCCGGCATCTCCTCCCTGGGGGCTAGAAACACTGACACCCTCTACCTGTCTGTTCCAGCCAGCCTGTCAGCTTGTGTCTTCCAATGCTCACCCCACCTGGGAGATGCCTCACCGTTGTGGAGTATATTCCCACTGGAAGCCATGTTCAAAGGATCCCTCCAGTGGGCTGCGTGTTGAGCCCCATGTAGAGCAATATTAAGTACATTTGGAATTAGAATACAACAAGGCTGCACAATTGTGAACTGAACTGCACTCACTCCCTAAAGCCACTAGTTGACACACAACTTCCCTCTTGCACATACTATAATTTTGTTTCACAATGAGAAATGTGTGAAAGCTATGACTCAACAGACCAACGTTGATTTAATGCTGCCAGTTAAGGAGGGCGGATAGCTGTCTTTCGTTTTTTTTCCCCCTCCTTAGCCTGATTGACTAACTTATGTGGACACAAATGACTATTTGTACTATACTTCTTCCTTTCAAATAATTCTCTGCTCATTTTATTCATAATTAAGAAAACAGACATTACAGTGATGACATCTGCTCCTGCAAATGGAGAAAAAACCCTGGCACCTCAAATAAATATGGAAAATGAAAGGGATGAGGGGGATAGGGAAGAGAAGTTGTATTTTTTGAATGCATGTGCTTGATATTATACTCAATTTTTGCCTCAGAATATAGTCAGAGAAAAGTGAACATGTACCAGTATATGCAAGGTCTTTTCTTCAGTGTAGTTGCATGTAATTTGTGATTGAAATTGATATAATTCTTAGTGCTCTACAGCAGAGTTTTCCTTGTGGGGAAAAAGTTATCCTTAATAAAAAAAAAAAAAAAAAAAAACTCTTAACATCTCACCTGTCTTTCACTATAAATCTGTAAGAGCTTGTAGACTGAAGAGTTGTTTGAGTTCCATGGCAGTTAAGCAGCTAAATAGAAACTATGAAGTACTTTGAAATTTTAAAATGAAAAATGCAGTTATTCATTCAACTAAAAATGGTTTCCTAAGCAAGAATCTAGATTAAAAGCAATCAGTAACTTAGACTATTAAAAATTAAATTAATGGAGATTGCCTATCTCCTAGAACTGGAAAGGACCTTGAAACATCATCAAGTCCTGTCCCCTGTCTTCATAGCAGGACCAAGTACCATCCCTTTCAAATTTTTGCCCCCAATTCCTAAATGGCCTCTACAAGGATTGAACTCACAACCTTGTGTTTAGGAGGCCAATGCTGAAACCACTGAGCTATCCCCCCCTCTTTTTTTATTAATATTATAGATCAGTAAGTCAACTGTAACTACTCAGTTGCTACTTTTAAAAACTGCTCTTTCATGTCTGAATTTCTATGCAACAATAATAAAAGTATGATCCCTGGTAAAAATTAACATAATTCTATAGCATAAGAAATAATTGCTTTTCAGAACAAACCTGGACCATACATTATTTCTATCTAAAAGAGATGTTACTATATTCATTGGATGAAAGAGAATTATACATTTTTCAGAATGCCTGTGATTCCATTTGGGGTTTTGGTAGCCATAGTAACATGTAGATAGCAGAGATAATTTTAGCCTTTGGTTTTATCGTTCCAGTATTAAAGAATTAGGTTCCAAAAATATCATCCTGGTCCTTGATGTAGTTCTAAAAATTGGCCTTTTCCTTGCACATTTAAAAGCAAGTCATGTGGGAGCCGTCTGCCCATAAAATACCTACCTAACACAAAACACATTTAATGGGTGAAGTAAAAAAAAGGACTGTCGCAGGGTCATAAAAATACTTACCAAACCGGACTCCTCCTAGATGGACACCTAGCCTTTGGTGGACACTGTCAGGGAAAGCACTCTATAATTATTTGGTTTCTAAACTAAGATCTTGCTCACACCCCATGCTTAGGCAGAAATAAAGGCCAACCCAATTAACTCCACATGCCTTAGAAAGACATAAGAGGTGAAATTTTAACATGCTACCATAACATTATTTTTTCATAGTAATTAAAGATGGAAGAAACATAAATCATGCAGTCAAATGCCCACCACAAAAATATGCTGTTTGAGTAGAGAGCTATTTGAGTAGAGAGCAGGTTGATTGACACTGTATGTGCCTTTAAAAATTCTAGCTGGAATTATAAGAACAATACAGATCTTAACTTCCAACTGAACATGCAAATATAGTCAAATTCTGTCAACTGAAAAGTTATACATTACCAAAAATCCAGTGTATCTATGCACTACCAGTACTTTTAATGACTCATTAAGTTCAGCTCAACGTACCACATTAATACTAACATTGGAAGCATGGAGATAGTAAAATGTTTACTAGCAATGTTATGAAAAATAGCTGTAATGATTACCTCATTCAGTATTGTGAATTTGTAAAGCACTTTGAGTTGCTTTGTC